GCCACAATTTAATTCTTCGTGTTGTTAGCCGACACTAGGCAGCTGGTACATAATTGAATAGAGTTGTTTAAACATTTGTTTAATTGACTCACAGACATACCCTAATGAAAGAATAGACCATTCCAAGCTTTTACTTGTTATTAAACAAATGTTTAAACAACTCTATTAAATAAGTGAAATAGTTTAAGTTGATGAAGTGTAATTTTTATCATTTTATACGAGTCACTTACAAATTAAAATTTGGATAAGGATTAATAAAAGAAAATTATTTAACACTAATTATTTATCATTATTTTATTTTTATTTGAATTAACTTTTACTTATCATTCAAAAAATTGGTGAACCACCAAGCTTCTCTTATTGTTCCCAGAGTGGTCAAGTAATCATAGCATAAACAGAAGATGTGTACATAACTGTAAAACAGTAAAATGTATTCTAATAAAACACTACTTACTCTTCTTAAGTGATCAAAGTTGTTGTGGTAAGAACGAACAGATTGGTAAGGACTGACATATGCTCCTCCTGTACTCATACTTGAAGTGGACATCCTCATTGACATGAATGGATTGATACCGGATGTTCCAGGCCTTCGTCTCTCAAGCTGAGGTGAAAGCGGTCTCAGTGGAGGAGAAAATCGACCTGGGGATCTGCTAGGAGTATGATGAGCAGAATCATTCCACACTCTAGAAACATGCTGGTCCAAAATTGATTGATCATTTTCTTCTGTAACTGTCTGCTTTTCTTTCATGGCTGCTGTTATAAGTTGTGATGGAAGACCTGCAAACCTACTTACTGAGCTCTTCGTATTGCTATCACAGGACCATAATGCTGTTTTTTCTTCATCTACCTGTAATTGATGTCAAACATTTGTTTCTTTAGTTACTTTCTTAAAAAGCTTTTGATCAACAATGCTAAAGAATGTTGAATAATGTTTGCTATTCTATAAATTGCATAATAATCAAAGTATTTAATTTATTATATCATTAAAAAACGTGACTGGAATTTAGCAATTTTATTAAAAGTGACTTAAAGAGCAAATGGTTCCTTTCAGCTTATACTACAACTGAAAATAATATTTCTTTAATGTTATTGCAACTAAACTACCATTTTCAGCAATGAAGAAAAACACAAATTAAGTATATGATTCTATAAAAAATAAGTTTAAATACATTGAGAAATGAAAAATCTGTACCTCTAATTTTTGTAAAGCTTCTTCAATTTTTTCCTGAGCTTCCTTTTCCTTTTTTACTTGTAACAATTTTTGTGTCAAAATTGTTGCAAATTCTTCTTTTTGCATTGGATTCATATACTCTTTAGGAGGTCGCTGGGTTCGCTAGGTGGTTGTAGAAAAAATAAATAAAACAGGGGCATTTAATACCAGATATTACATGTGGATTTTAGAAAGTTTTTTAAAAAAGACTCAAAGCATAAGTTTACTTATAAGTAAAGAAATAAACTGGGCAGAAATTTAAAAAAATTATCTTACAGTTAAAACAGCAATGATAAAAGCATAATATTACATAATCATTATTTTTCAGCTGATGTACTAGAGCTTTAAACTATGATGATACAACAAAACTCCAGAGGAAGCTAATATTGTAGCTCTCATTATATTCAACACGTAGCTGAAATAGATTAACAAAGTACAAAATACTGAAGTATCAATAAATATCTACATAACCATGAAAATAATGAGTTTAATGGCATAGCATTAAAAAAATTTTAAAGTACTTTTAAAGTATTATCAATTCACAGACACCACAAATTACATGATTGTTAATGTTACCTTAGAAGTCATCTTGGATAGCAGCTAGTGAATGAAGATTTAGGTTAGGGTTTCACTGATGCTATCATTTATTAGAAAAGATCAAGAGTTAAAAACATAGGATATTCATAGGCCTAAAAGTAAACTAAAACTAACAGGTATTATGGTTTGATGTGCCAAGTGATCCCTGTTTAAGCTAGCACTTTTCTTTACTGCTCGGTGATGTCTCTTTAACTGATTCCTTGATGACAGACTAGGTCCACAATCTCTAGGGTAAAAAAAGAAGAAAAAAAAATTATATTTTAATTTACAAGAAGAAATATAAAAACAAATTAAATGAACAATATCATTTTACTATCCAATGTTTAATTAGGTAACCTAGTATAGAGAGGATTATTTTTGTACACCAATATCAAATATTCTATAAGGACAGTGAATACATTTTTGAAGTCTATTTTATATCTTAATAATTAAGATATAATTACCATTAATGGCATGAATCCAACATACTAATCACTGAAAGAATACAATTTTTTACAAAAATAAGTAATCCTTGTAACAATAGTAATAAATAAGCCAAAATTAGGTTTTCTTTTCAGAAGAGTAATTCTTGTTTCAACAATCCTCAGAATGATTTAAATTAAATCAACTACAATGCCCATTTATTTTAAATTAGTATTTTTCACACAATTTTTATTAGATATTTTTACTTACACACTGCTGCCATCTGTTAAAGACAGGGTATCATCAGTTAGTGCATCTGAAGAGAGGCTTTGGAGTTCGCTGTCCTGAGCAGAGGTTGGGAGAACAGTGGAATACTTCACATGGTAAGGGTTAGGAACTTTATTTGTTCCATGTAAGTAGTGCCTATAAAAAAATGAAAAAAATATTGGATATAAATGATATTTCACTGATTAACTTGCAAAGACTGCAATACCATGGTCTGGTGTAATTTCACTCCAAAAAACAATAATTCTTAACTTGGAGTTAACTAAAAATTACATATAATGATTGAAATTTTAAAACATGGGAACTGATGAAACAATGCATTCTAATCTCCATAAGTAGAAACATAAAACTATACTGAATTAGCCAGGTTGATTGGGTTTCATTGTAAGTACATAGCTTACTCTGATCAGAAGTTATTACAAAAATTAATATACATGTAATGCCTCTAAGTTTCTTTAATGCTAATATTTAGTGTGATCACTTTTAGCATTAATAATAACTCAACATCTATGTATGACTATGTCTATGTATTTTCTCCAAGTCTATGGTGTAATTTGGCTTCATTTTTGAAGCAGTGTCCAGAAATTTTTTTTAGTATAATTGATACTTTTGTGGTGCATGTCGTCCAGGAAATTGTTAAGATCTGGTGGCACCCAATAAGTTTTCTTCTAGAGGATACAGCATGATGAATAATATACTATGATATTTACTGATCCATGGTTCTCCCAATTTTGTGAAGATTATTTGCATATACTGTGCCCCAAACCATCATAGGACTCCTCCAAGCTTGACTCTTGGCACAATGCACTCCTTTTGCAATATCTCATTAACTCTTCAGTAAATATATACATGCCAGCTAGAACCCAGTAGTTCAAATTTAAACATTTCTGTCCAAAGTATCCTGTTTTTCTGTTCCCTGCTTTCTCTGATGTTATATGAATGGGTTTCCTTGTACGTTTCCAATGCGTACTTCACAGTACTTAGTGAACAGTTGAGGTTTTTTGTAATTTTCCTTAGAAACTCCAAATAACAACACATAAAGATCTGACTCGGACCATATCAATGAGTGTTAGTTCTCTGTTTCGGTATTTTAAAGGCAGCAACACATTATCTGTTCTGGATATTGTTCTTGAAAAAATAAAAAATCATCCTATAACACTAATCCTTTATATACCTCTATGAAAAAAAAAATCAATGTGAAAAATCAAGTTTTTTCAGTGATAACCAGTACAATAACAAAGCATTCATGTGTGGCAATGATGCAGTGCTTTGTATTTATAATAAACATCTTGAACAAGTTTTATACAATGTTGCAGTGCTTTGTATTTATAATAAACATCCTGAACAAGTTTTATACAACCTACTGCTTCATATAAACATCTTGAACAAGTTTTATACAACCTATTGCTTCATAATTATGTGGTAATGTGTCACTTTTCTCTTTATATTGTAAATTTAAAAATGTCTACATATTATTCATCAATAAAGTAAGAAAATCAATAATTGGCATATTTGATGGGTTTTTTTCCCCCATTTTAAACTACACAAGTGTTATTTCATATTCACAACATATCAAAACAACAGAAGTAACGAGGTATTCTAATCATTTTTTGGCACAATACTTTATTTCTGAAAATGAAGTTTAGTCAATATCTATAGTAACCACTGTTTAAGGTATCCACTTCTCACATTAAATCAAGTTATAAATTATGATTATATAAAAACTAATTTATTTATTTATTCATAGCTTGAGTGCTTGCCACAACCTTAATTAGATTTTTTAATCATACTAAAACCTTTAAAAACAGTGCTGGAAGTATACAATTAATTTGTTTTTAGAATTCACAATCATAAAGGAATTTTGCCATTTCTGAGTATTACATATGTATTTAAGACTTCATTTCGATTTCATTTAGTGTTACGAAACTTTTGCAAAAATCTGTAACACCATAAAATAATCTATAGTTCCTGCTTTTATACATAACATTTTCTTCAATATTTTACATATAATAGTTAAAATAACGTGATTGTATAATCTATCAAGATTTATTTACATTCATCTAGAAAGTAATGACTTATAAGAAGATAATTCATATGAAATTGGAGATACTTTTAAGCCCTGCATTTGTGCTTTAAAACTAATACAGTTTCAGTATAATCTTGAACCAGACCTACAACTGGTAATAAAGAATAAAATGATTGAGTTTTTCAAACTGACTAGCACAGCTTACATCCTATGAAATTCCTTGTTTACAAAAACTTAAAACTAAAGATGTAAGAGCATCTATCCACTTAGTAAAGTTGATGGTTCATAACCCACCCAGTCTCAGTTTTCACAATTCTAAGATAGATTACATATGTAAATATAACATACAATAACAAGGGGCCATTATATTATCACTTCCCCTTGTATTAAGTGCTAAATCCCACTATTGTTAATGACTATTAATTCAATCATCATGTTAGAGAAATAAACCTATCTTAACTGGATCCAAGTTTGTTTTTTTCTAAATCTTAAACTTGTGGCCTCTCAACCTGTTATTACCTCTGCCAACAAAAGTGGACACAGAGGTCGTATGTGTGTATCAGCAAGATTTCTTGAAAATGGCTTAATGATTTGGACAATGACCCAACTTAGAAGTGATTCATTTTTGGAGGGTCAAGGCCACAAAGAAAACAACAAATCCCTCTCTGTTAACATAGGGACCAATTTTTCACACTATAACTCAGCCAAATACTTTAATGAAACTTGGTTGACATATGTAGAATATTATTCCTCATTGTCCTGCCAAAAATGATTGTTGTTCATTGATAACATACATACATACATACACATTTTCGTACTTTCTGAGAGCTGAATATGATCAACACCGTGTGACAAAGGTATGCACTCTACTGAGTGCTTCTCTAGTCTTCAGAATATTGTGCAAAGAAATTATGGGCCCTTATCCTTTCAATCCCCAGATATAATCTTGAAAGTATGTTGAGAAATCTTAACTTATCCATATAGGATAATTCTTTTATTTGTGGAATCATTGTAGCATCTCTCCTTTGAAACCATTCCAATAACAGCCAATTTCCTTTCTTGGATAAGAACATCAAAACGTGTACCCAGTGTAAATAGTGTTCCAATTGAAGTTTCATTGGTGATTGGTCTAAATAATTACACCCCCCTTTTATTTTCAATCAATATGTTTATAAAACCACAATCAGAGGTCATTTCCTCAACTTACCAACCAATTCAAGTCATTATATTATGTTTCAACATCCTCAAGATTTTAAAAAACTTGCATATTTGTTAATTATTACTACCTCTATCAACAGCATTAACATAAACAAGAAAACACAAATGCCTAAGTAACAACAGTCCAGTCTGACTGGACTTCATTAAAAAAACCTTTTGCTTTTTCCCATCCAACCACCCTACAATACAATCAACCAGAAAACTGCAAGTAGTAAGGTATCTCAAAGCATCATTTTGTAATATTTTTGTTCATTTTTATGTCAACAACTTCTTATTGACTGGCCTTATTATTAAGCCTACTTGAATGAGTTAGTACAGTTTTGGTCCCCTGAGTACCAAAAAAAAAAAGAAAGCAGATAGTGATATAATTGAAAAACAAAGTGCACAGAATGAATATGTCAGAGTTAAGACCTACATCAGTATAAGAAGCTTAGTCTTAGACTTGTCTGCTAAAACACAGAAAAATGTAGAAGTGATTTATGGTGTTGAAACAGTTCCCCACAAGTTGTCTGTTTGTTGAATGATAAAGAATAGGTGCAAAATATTAGGGATTATAGGTTGTTTCAGTTAGTTATAACCTAATGGAGTGGTTTGGCTGATGACATTGTGATTAAGATGATAAACTTCTACCCAGCTACATTTAATTTAACTTTGGGGTTTTCTATTGTCTGTTTTGACAAGTGATGGCAGCCTCAATAGGTCAAGAAGTCTGACATTAACTTCTTTTGTCTTGCACATTTTTAGTGCAATTCAAATCATAAAATAATTATTCATTTTAAGTCAGTTAGAACTTAAAACTATATTTCCTAATTTTTTTAATTTCTTTATAACGAATGAGGTTTACAGTCTGTCATCACATGTTGATAATTGCAATATTTTTCTGGTAACTTACAAAAACATTGATGTATATTCAATGGTACTAGTTTGTTACAAGTATAAACTCCTTAATAAAACATTCAAACTTACAAGTAGTATATCAAAACATTAATGAACCTTACAGCAGATGATGTACTTCTGCTTATTTGCTGTAGAGAAAAACCCACTGATCTACAACTGAAAAATAATGGCAATCGAATTATACATATTTCATAAGGAAACTAACAATTTCTTCATATATTAACTTTGTTTTCTTATGCTGACTAGTTAAACAAATCATCCTTAACCCTGTTCTTTTGTTTCTTACAACATAATGCATTTAGGCTCATCATTACATAATTACATTTAATTTTCTTGGTGGAAAGGAAGAAAACACTTGGAACCTTATAAAATAAAATCTCATAAAATATTGAAATACCTGTGGATATATGCTTAGTTATCATTACTTCAATACTACATACTTTGATAACTTATACTTTACAAATGTAAAACCATCAAAATATAAAAAATACATATATAAAATAGGTGTAATGCCATAATTACATAAAAAATACTTTTGTTCTATATTGTAAGATAAAATTACCCAGCCTGAGCTTCAAGTCGATAATGAGGTACATTTTCCATTGATCTGGGTTGCTGTTTCAAAGCTTCCCTGGCCAGAGGCACGGGTCCAAAACTTCGATCCACATTTAGTTCAACATCTTCATGTAATGTTGGCAAGATTTCTAATCCTTGTCTAGAGTCACTGCTGTTGCTTTTTTCACTTAAAGATCCTGAGCTTTCGGAGAGTTTCTGTGATGCTGTACGAGTCTTTTGTTCCATTAACTGAATATGCTGAAGGTAGAGTTCAGATTTCAGAAAATTTGGATACGTAGTTTCTCTTATTATATCTTCAGTGTTTCTTTGAGCATCATCAAATATTGTTTGATCAAGACCCATTTTACTGTCAATTTTATTAGCTATATCTTCTCTAGTTTCAGGTTTAATCTCTACAAGCTTAGATCTTATAAACTTTTTATATATCAACTTAATAATATATTGAATGTAGCTCACATTTGTGGGATCTGCTTTTTTAAGACCCTCACAAGCAAACCAAAAGTCCAGGCTATCTTCACATTTTTCCTGAGATAGGTATTCTTTAAACAAATTCACTCCATCCAGGTCCTGTAAGACACACTGAAGGTCTTTAGCCCACTTCAAGTAAGTAGGGGTGCCACTTTCTGAGAATGAGGGTGTAGCATCACCACTACATCTAGTGTTGCTGTCCACATAATGAGCACCAATGTCACATGGAATATCCTTGTATCTTGGTGAGACAATTCCATAGTTATTTTCCATGAGTTTCTTTCCATTTCTGGAAGTTTCAAGCTTTCTGCTTTGAATTCTATTGTTACACCCAGACACACTCCACTGACCAGCACAATATAAATCAACATCCTCAGCACCTGCCTTAAAACAGGGCTTTGACTTGTGGTTGATGTATGTTCTTTCTGCTTGCACTTCATTCTCTTCTCCATCTGCCGGAGACCTTGCCGATGACTCATTAAATTTACTTTCACTACGACTGGGCAGGGATACTTCGTGTACATCACCACTCATTCTGCATTACTGTCCACCTCTTCCACCATGTCTCTTAGTATTTCTGCCAATGTACAGTGTTTTTATTCAGCTCCATACCTGTGGAAATAAAAGAAAAATCCGTAATTAATCCTCATTACAAAAATTTAATAATAATACAAATATCAGGCGAGTTTATTACATATCATTTTAAATAACTATAAAAATACTGAAATTTGGAAATGTTTTACCAAGTGTTACATCTGATTAAAATCAGCTTCAATTTTTAAAGAAATCACTATTTTCACAAGAACACAGAATCTGTAGGCTTCATGCAAGTTTTTTTGATTGTTCATTTGAAGAAAATACCAAATCACCTAAAGTGAGCATTCAAGCTATATAGCATTTATAAACCACAAAAAATTAGAAATTAAACTATAAATATAGAAAGTTCATAAAATAACTGAACTAATTGGATTGGTCTATCTGCAGAATGACTTGATGAATTGACATTAAATCTGGGATAACTCAAGATACTATGGAGCTTTTTTGTTTGGCATTTTTGACTAAGTGATGCTCTAGTTATCATTTGTATACTGCCACCAAATGCATTAAAGGCAGTATATAAGGCCACAGGAGATGGTCAAAATAATGACAACTTTAAGTACCTGTATTTTTACTAAAGATTTGTCTGTGAATATTATGCTGCCAATTTACATTACCCATGAGCTACTCCAAGCTGCTCACATTTGTACCTCGTGAAACTTATTATATTACCATTATTTATTTTACCTAATATAACCTTAAATAATCTACAGTTTCCTATATTTATATTTTAGTTACTTTTATAATAATAAATAAAGAATACACATGAAAAACAAGAAATAAAGTACTTACCTGGGCCTTCTTTTTATTTGCCCTATTTGACACTTAGCCCTACTTTATTTAACACTAATGGTAGTAGTGCACTAAATAATTTCAACTTAATTAAATAATGCCCCAAAGAACAAAGAATGATAACATGCAAAAAGCAGACAATGTCCCATAACTATAACAGTTTTTCTGGCTTGCTAACCATGCAACAAGAGTCATTACAAATTCAGCCAAGCAAGTTGAAGCATTTCCTGTGGGAATGAAGCTTGTACTGTACAGAAAACAATGTAATATAATACATCATTTGACAGATACAAACCTTGGCTTTCTATTGGTTAAAAACAATACTATTAAATATTATAGAGAACTACTGACAAACTCTGAAAGAGAGGATATGTCAGGTGGGTGTGGCAAGAAGGGTCTAATTTTCTATTTGATGGTTCTGTAACCAAACAAAATTGAAGGCTATGAAAATTATACTTTATCTGAATGATGAGAAATTAGAGAAGAGGGGATGTCTATAGAAAAAAATGTCACATTTCTCATACTAAGGGAAATTCAGGATCTTTTTTTTTAATATTGCCCTATAAACTGAAAAATGTAAAACTTGTATACTATTAAAACAAGGAATATTAGCTATGATTTTATGCTATACTAATTGATATAACATAAACAAACAAAAAGTATTTTAATTAAATTTTGAATGGCAAGAGGGGTAATTGCTACTGAAAAGTCATTAGACATTTTCTTCTTCAAAAAGCCAAGTAGACCAAGTTATGAAGAAAGTCACGAGGTCTCACCAAAAACTATTAACTACATTAATTTAAAAAATTATTTGTGGCAACCTTGTTCAGTTGTAATATCCTCAAGTCACTTCTTTCTCTAGTCAGTTGATTGTTGTATTATTTTGTGACAGATGAAGTGTTTTGTATTTCTTGCAGTTTTATTTTATATACCAGCAACTATTTTTTTCATGAAATGCCATGTATGGTACAATTAAATATTAGGGTTTGTAGCTGAATAAAAGTGTTATTAGAATAAAAACATGCCATTTATCTCAATTTTAATCAGTGAATGTCTTTACAAATAGTTACGACTTTTAATGCTGGATTTAATTGCCATAATGTGTTAAAATGATGAATGTTACAAAGATGCTAAACAATATTTGCTAATTGCTAATCAAATTCAATACTGATTAATAGTTTCTGCTAATCAAATCCATCCTTCTATTCTCTAAGGAATACCAGAAATCTTATACTATTCATACATAATAACCTTTCTAGAATCATCCTAGTAACCATTCTCTGAACCTTATCCAGTAATACAATATTCTTAAAATTTATAGTGTTCAAAGAGAGGCCTAACTTAGGAACTAGATACAGTTTTACTATATTGCCACCTATATGGTATTTCCTGTGTAAACAGTATTGATAAAAAAAAAACTACAAATTCAAAATTCTTTCCCTGATTTGGCAGCACAAGGAAATGTCACAAACCAATCAACAATAAACACCTTGTACATCCAATATCATGTGACTGTTGAGTTAAATCTTACACTGTAGTCCAAGCTTAAACAAGACTGCACAAAGCGAAATTAGGAAATTAAGTTATTATTAATAGCAGTTACATATGTGTAATGAAATACTGTGTAGTGACTTGATAACAAGTCTTGTAAGAGTTATGTGCAAACATATGCCTGCATCTGAAAAAAAAAAAATAATAATGCTAACGACTCCCCATACATGAACCATTCTCAAAAAACAGATCAGTATGACAAGATGGCTCTTTAGTGAATACAACTGGCTTCATTCTATACAAAATTTCACTATATTCTAAAGTTTCTTTTCTCAGACTAGAAATTTTCACACTACAGAAATGATATTAATTAGCCTATAATTTCTATGGTAACTTATTAAACACTTTTAAAAATAGGAGTATAACTGTAGCCTATGGCATCCATATTCCAGTAAACTAAAGTTTGCACAAATTCTACAGCATACAATAATTACGCTCACCTAAAATCTAGTTACAATATAGAATTATAAAGCTTTTATCACATATACTTAAAACCCTTAGTAAATCCAACCGCATTACGTTGCCACAAACAAAAACTCTCATTCAGAATTAATTTAGGGCCCTAACAATTCAATTTAACTTCAAGTTCAATTATAAGTTCTTCATATCCGTATTGTTTTAAACCAGGTAATATAATTTGTACTAACGCGTCACTAACCCTTTTTTCTCTCTATCTAGTCAATATATGTTATGCAAAAAAGGGACCACAACTGAGCAGTCTTTTAAGTACCCGATAAAACTTTTAGACAACACATTGAAGTTTTGAAACATACATATACGTGTTAAAAGACTTTTGTTAATTATTTTCAGTATTCGCTACAGTACAACTAATTACTCAGCAAACACTTTCTTGAAACTTAACTAATCTCAACTGAATTCTTCAATTTCTATTAATAAAACCAAAGACGATGTATTGAAGATTTACAAAACGTTTTACTTATTCAGTATTCATGATCAGCGATTATGCAAAATCTGCAAAAATTCTAGTAAAACAAAAACATGTACACTTAGTGCAGTTTCGTGTAATTCAAGCATGGACATTCAGCACTGTTTATAAGTTTCTGTATCTTTAGGCCTAAACCTAATTGCCTTCTTGATGTAATACTGTCATTGGTATTAATAGTACGCAATACATTGATCCAAAAATTGTTTAAGTAGAGTCAAATGAAATTTGAATACATCTAAAATAAATAATAAAGTTAAACCATAATTCATATTAGTTTTATTACTAAATAACATACCTTATAATGAATAAACATCTATGCTAAAGTAAATTCACTAAACACTAATATGCAGCAAACTCAGCACACTGTCTTAAATATCTACCACCGGTAACTCCTCTTACTCACTAAACTTATAAGTCACCGCATACGCCAGCCAGCTGCAGCAGAATCCCCACGTGGTGTCAGTAAGCCTCCGGACTGCCGCCAGCAATCAAACAATCACATGCACTCTCAATATAAGGCGGTGGAGCTGCTTAATTACAGAGCAGTCAGAAAGGAGGGAAGTTGCAGACCAACCACCTCGGGCAGCGGAAAACGCCCTTTGGCCTATAGCCTGCCAATGCCCATTTCACACCTAAGGTACCGACGACCACAGCTTCCGTTTCCTACGTTTTATTCCAGCATCTGTCGTCATATTCAAGATATGCAACCACTTCTCTAGTTGTTTCCAGTTCTCTTTCAGAAAATGTCTGTACAAAAAACCTTATGACATGCATACAACGAGTTAGTGCAAGATATTTCATCTACTTCTGTACTAACATTCATGTTCACAAAGTCATACCGTCAAAGAAAGGATGACTGTTTTCTTACCTCAAAACGAATGCATTTATAGAAAGTTCTAAAAACTATTTGGATAACCGTAAATAGAAGGTATAACTTCGGTTTATTGTCTGTTTAGTTATATTTCACGCAAAGCTACAAGAGACTAAGTTACCTACTCTAGTTATGTCCTCCCAGAAACCCTGTTTTTCTATTGTTTTTTCTTTTTCCAAACACACTTTTCAATCAACCGCTATTCCTTCATTTTTCGGCCTTTTTGGTATTTCATAAGGACAAAAGTCAAACAACCCCGAAAATTTATATTTTGGGCTCCTGTGCGGTCATATCTACAACAATCAAGATGGAAACTGACACAAATATAATCTTTCATGCGCCCAACACAATGGCAATTAAAAAGGTTGAAGTTACCTATTTTGAGGCTTGAAGGGGGGGGGGGACAAAGCTAACAAAACAAAAGCATAATTATTGGGGTTTTGGTCAATTACTCGGCCATATTTTGACAAATTTACATGGGATTTAGTACAAAGATACTTTTCGACGGGTCCCACACATCCAAAAACAAAAATGGTGGATTTGCTCATTTAAGTAATTATAAGGAGTCAAGATGCCACAAAAAGCATAATTTTTGCTATTTTTTACAATTACCCCGCCGTATTTTGGCCAACTTACATGGAATCTAGTGGAGGGATACTTTTTTTTTTTTACAGATCTCAAACAGAGTTATGGACAATTTAGATTTTTTTTTCTTTTGCACAATTTGGTTTTTTTTTTAAAACTATCCATGTACATATCAACCAACTTACATGGGATTTGGTAGAAAGATAACTTCTTGCAGGTACCAAGCATTGATATAGACAGTTTTCGATTTTTCTGATGTCAAAATTGACC